AGCACAAACAGCAATGCAGCCCACCCACAATAACTGGTTACTACACCTGGATAAAATAGCAACTTGTCCATGTCCAGGTGCCTCACCACAGCTGTGCGGGGGGCTGGTAGACTGCCTTGGTGGGTTGCTGAGTGGGCAGAGACCAGCGGTACTCTGCCCGGGTGCCAGCGCTACCACTGAAGTAGCCTGGTTGGAGCCTGGTTGTGGGAAGGGGAGACCGACTGTCTCCCCTCTGGATACACTGCTCTGTGGCTGGGGGACAGGACCGACCGTCCCTACCCCTGGTGCTGCAAGTGCAGAGACTACGGTCCCATCTGCATAGTTGTGGGGCTTAACATCTCCCCTTGGTGGGTTAGGCTGCAGCTGGAGAGAGGGTGTAACAAGCTCCTCTCTCTGAACTGTAGACTGCCGCTGGGGAGAGGGGGTAACCTGCTCCTCTCCCTGACACTCTCTTTGCTGGTGGAGAGGGGGACCAACTGTCTCCCCTTTCAATATTTTGTCCTGCGGCTGGGGTGCGAGACAGACGGTCTCTGCTTCCTGGGGTACACACTGCCGCTGGGGAGGAAGGACGACACCTTTGGCTCCCTGGGATACACACTGCCGCTGGGGAGGAAGGACGGCACCTTCTGCTCCCTGGGGTACACACTGCCGCTGGGGAGGGGGGTAACAAGCTCCTCTCCCATACATACTTTCAGCCGCTGGGGAGAGGGGATAACAAGCTCCTCTCCCTGACACTCTCTCTGCTGTTGGAGGGGGAGACTGTCTCCCCTTTCAATAATTTGTCCTGTTGCTGGGGAGAGGTGATAACCGGTTCCTCTCCCTGGAACACTCTCTGCTGTTGGAGAGGGGGACCAACTGTCTCCCCTTTTAATATATTGCCCTGCTGCTGGGGAGCGAGACCGACTGTATCCACTTCCTGCAGGACACACTGCCACTGGGGAGGAAGTACAGCACCTTCAGCTCCCTGGGATACATACTGCCGCTGGGGATCTGGGCTGACTGCCCAGCATCCCTGTAGGGCCTGTAGAGAGACCTCGGTCCCATTCCCACCTGCCAGCTGGGTGTCTTCCCAGGACAAGTCAATAAGGTCTTCCATCTCTGGGGCTGGTTGGGACATATGTGGTACAGTACCAAAGTCTCCTGATAACAGGCTTGGTTGCTGGGGAGGAGGAACTAAACTCAATGCTTCCGGTGGTATACAGTCAATAAGCCCCATCATGTCAAAGACAGGCGGCGTTATACGTTGGAATAGGCAAACATAATCCTGTTCTAGTTCCCACTCTCGGTTGGCAAGAAAAGATAGATCTGGCTGAATGGCATCGATCTCTGTAAGGTCCCAGTTGTCTGCCCGCTCAGCTCGGATGGACCAGAAGCGAGCAATGTCGGTGTCTCCGAACCAGAGACTAGTTTCAATAGTATCCCACAACAAACCAGGGCCGTCGTAGTCTTCCCCCTCAATACACTTGTACTCAATCAGCCATGGGTAGAGGTGGTAAACATGCCACCGCAGGGCCCGATAGGAATCATCCAGCCACACCTCAGTCTCAACTAGCGTCTCCAGTTCGCTTACCCATTCCTCTGAGGGCTGGTTTCCCAATAACGGCATCCGCAGCTCTAGTTGTTCTGCTTGGCGCTGGTTAGTGGTCAGGATTTCCTCGCACCGGAAGGGTCGAATTTCGTCGATGTCCTCCTTCCAGAGATCGGTACGAAGCGCCACCCTCCACTCTGTCTCTCTTTCCTCTGGGATAGGATACTCCATACTGCGCATCACATCCTGTAGTCGCTGCTGGAGCCTGGCGTCAAAGTGAGATACTGCACGGCCTTCCATCTCTGAAGTAGTGCTGGTTTTCCCAAATCTTTATGTAGACAGGGACGGTGTATGAACACTAGCGTCACCTTCAATTTGTAAATCCACAAACTGTGTCTCTGAGCTGCTTTACCTCGCACTAGGACGCCATCCCACCGCTGCCACCAATGTAACGGATCGCCTGGCACCCCGACTGGGTACCTCCGTTGAAGGATGCTCCTAGCGCTTCCTGAGGACTCCAAGCACTGCAGCCGACACCACAATCACCGAACCAGAGAAGCGTATACCTTCTCTCAAGCATATGAATGCTGTAGACAGTTGAATAGGAACCATACGAATAGGTTTACTCTCCTAGCAGTCAAACTGGAACAGCATACAATAAATCCTTCCCCCAATAATGAGACGACACTTCACTTTGAGGGTTAAAACAGGAACTCAGGTGCTGGCACACCCAGCCTGGTTTTTATTACAGTCTTGCAAATACAGGACCGCCCACAGGGAGGTATAAAACAACCAATCACATCACAGTTACATCCCACATATTCCCTCCCCTTATCCTGAGAGGAAACTCAATTATACATACAGTTAAAACATACTTTCTACCCAACTTTCATAACTCCAAAACCATACATCACATTCACATAAAATTACATATTCACAATCAATCCATTCAGGGGAACAACATATTCAAAAATGGCACAAATCAGACAAGGGGTTCAAAAGTTAGTAAAAAGTCCTTTGTGACTAAATGAAGCATGGCTTTCTGGCCCAAACCAGTTTCAGAGTCTTCTATCCTGGAGATAAATAATTCAATTATCTCCCAGGACAGACAAGACTCCATTAAGCACATGGTTGCAAAAAGACACAAAACACTTTAAAATACATAAAGTCATCTTTTACACATAAGACACAGACATTTCACATATCCCCAGATAGCTGGGATCTGAGCGCACAAAACTACCGAATAGTGCTCAGATCCTATTCACACAATTCAATTGCCATGGAGCCGAAGTCTTTAACTACACGAATGGGCTCCATGGCATAGCTATCTGGGTTAACACATTCACATAAAGTCTGGTCCATAGTCCCAAGGCAAGAGGCGGGCAAGCAGCCCCCTCCAAGGACACGTGGCGAGGCCGGTTTCGCCACAACCACCCTTCTTTCTGACACAGAAAATACCTGCCCCTACCCTATATGTCATGATAAAGAGCACGGTGAAATTAAGCACGTGATGACTACTAAAGAAACAACATGAGTCGTGGGACTCGTGGCTAACCACATTGTAATGCAGCATGCAGCTATGGGATGACATCACATGCAGTCAAATCAGTGGGTCATGATGTGAACCCAAAAAGTTATGGGTCACAAGCCGTGTATAATACAAAATGCATAAATGGGAAGGGGCCCCTACCCTATATGTCATGATAAAGAGCATGGTGAAATTAAGCACGTGATGACTACTAAAGAAACAACATGAGTCGTGGGACTCGTGGCTAACCACATTGTAATGCAGCATACAGCTATGGGATGACATCACATGCAGTCAAATCAGTGGGTCATGATGTGAACCCGAAAAGTTATGGGTCACAAGCCGTGTATAATACAAAATGCATAAATGGGAAGGGGCCAAATGAGAAGGCTGAAAACAAGTAATTGTACTCAATATCAACATATCACTAGTGAAAATAATAAATAAAAAATAAGTATTTCCTCCTTTTTTTTCAAATTGCACTGTGTGAGAAATTAATGAATAAGAACATAATATACAGTCATTTCATTAACTCATCTAAATACATGAATACATCAATTCATAAATATTACCCAAAAATGTAATTATGCTCTCATATATAGTAAATTGATACCTAGTAATATAACTTTCAGAAGAGAAAAAAACATTTGTTACTAATCAAAAACATTACTCTAACTGACAAGCTAATTATATATACATGCTATAAAGATAAATTAATATTAAAAGTGTTGATTAATCAATTACCTGTCATTTACAAAAGAAAAGCACACTAATGTAAACAATGCACCAATTCAAATGCATCAAGAGCATACTAGTGAAATGCATTAAGTCATAGTCACAGAATTTTTTTTATTTTTTTTAAATATTAAATAATTTACAGTGCACCAAAGTGAAAGTGCTATAAATATTTTTTGTCTCTCAAAGTGAAAGACAAAAATTAGAAAATAAAATGTGATATAATAATTATTATTACTACAGCGCAACAAAATGCAAATGCCATAAGTATGGATACTCAACAACATGTGTACCTGAATACATGTTTAATATATAAAGTAACAAAAAAAATAAAGAAAGGGGAGCCCTACCTTTAATGATCCTAAGAAAAAAATAGACATTAGGGACACATAAAACACTATTTAAATAGATAAACTGTGTACTTTTAAATTATTGTCTTTATAGTTATGGGAGTAATGGAAGAGCGCAGTGATTTATATAAAAATTTAGGGTATAGTGATGTCCCGAACGGTTCGCGAACGGTTCGCCACGAACGGTTCGCCACGAACGGTTCGCCGCGGACTCATCATTGAGTAAACTTTGACCCTGTACCTCACAGTCAGCAGACACATTCCAGCCAATCAGCAGCAGACCCTCCCTCCCAGACCCTCCTACCTCATGGACAGCTCACTAAGAATGCAGCTTCACAATGAATGTAAAATGGATGCTGTCCAGGAGGTGGGAGGGTCTGGGAGGGAGGGTCTGCTGCTGATCGGCTGGAATGTGTCTGCTGACTGTGAGGTACAGGGTCAAAGTTTACTCAATGATGAGTCCGTGGCGAACCGTTCGTGGCGAACCGTTCGCGAACAATTCGGCGAACCGTTCGGGACATCACTAGTAGGGTAATCTTTTAAGGCATAAAAGACTTAGGACTCGTTTCAAGACTCCTTAAGTCTGAGCTAATTAAGAAGTACTAGTCCTAGTTTATATATTTTACAGAGAGGAGGAGAAATGGATTTTACTCAGGGAACCTTAACCAATCTATGGCTTCTGGGGAGGAGTGTTGGCCGATTTACACACCCACATGACATGAAGTATTCCTTCATGTGGGTGTGTTTATGACTGATATCTCAGCAGTATGATAAATCGGACTCGCCTCCCAGCAGTGGGGGAGATATGTGAACATAGTCACACCTCTCGTTCAATACTGATAGGCGTACGATCTGACCCCCGCCCCACGTGGGCAACACCCAATAACAATTGTAGGGATGTCTCTAACTAAGTGCCACCTTATAGTAGGCGAAGCCCAATGAGGATCAAGGAGGGTGTATACCTCTGGATATTCCTGGTTTGTGTATACTTTCTGGGACAATGCTCAGTTCAGGTTCAGACCTACTTAGTAGATTTGTTTATCCTAGCTAAACCAGCAGTATATTTATACATATATATGTATGTGTGTGTGTGTATATATACATATACTATATATATTTTTCTGTCTCTCCCTCCCCCTTTTTATAGTTCCCGTTTTTTTCTTAGGATCATGAAAGGTAGGGCTTCCTTTCTTTCTTTTTTGTTACTCTCCCAACTAGGACCTTCAGTCCTCCCTTGTCTATTTTATATTGTATTTTAAGGGTTATTCCCCAACCTTAAGGAGAGTGACATCCACTATCTTCCAGTATCATTGGGACTCCTGGATCAGCCCCTATCTATTCATTTATTTAGTTTCTTAAGATAAAGTGTAAGTGCATTAAGTGCAAAATTAATAAAAAAAAATACAAATAAACATTAAAAATACAAATAAAAAAAGAATTATATAAAGTGACCACCATAAGCACAACACGAAGGAGCAACTCAATAAACCGTATATGAGCTTAGAAGTGAATCAGCACCACAAAAAGTATGAAAGCATCTGTAAAAAAAGGAAATAAATTTAAAAAGTTAATAATAGCCCTAAAAAATTAAGTCCCCTTTGGCTCAACATATCCAATTCCTTAATTCAAAAAGCATCCCTCCCTTAGCAGCAATTTTTTTCTTCCTATCTCCTAATGTTCTTTGGGATGTGCTCTATTATTTGAGATTTCGGTTGGGAAATGTTATGACAACATTCATGAAATGAGTCACATGGGCTGACATAATCACACCTTTTGGCACGGACATGACTCCAGAGTTCTGGATGCCAATTGAAAAGTCTAAGTGTTTTGGTAATTATTGCAATTAATTTGTACTTATTTTATTGCCTATATATCATCCTTCAGGGTTTCTGACAACCCCAGGCAGAACTGTTCTATGAGTTCTGTCTCGTAATATCCAGTATACTGTACCAATTTTCAGAAGTCTATTGTATTGGCCTCCACAGGTCTTCTTCCTTGTTGTAAAGAGTGCAAGGCAGTGCATGCAGTAGATGGTCTCTAGCGGCTGTTGTATAAGATATGCATGGCAGCAGTAAATGGTTCCCAGGAATCCAGCTGTGGAATGTTGGTGTTTAGTAGTTGATGAACCTTCACATAGTAATTTTGTTTTAATGCAAATAGTAGTTCACATGCGGTGATAAATCACTGATTTCTTTCCCGTGAACTTATCGGGCATAGTAATGGCTGGTTGGTACTAAAGGGGTTGAACCAAGGCCAGGGGTACCATTGCGGATTCAGCCCTTCACCATTTGTAGTGGAGAAGCGTGGCATGTCTAGCCTGGAGTTCCTGGACCAACAGGGACAAAGCCGCCATCTGCTGGGTCAATGCTGCAATAGTGTCAGCTGTTCCTGTGCATTTCATAAAGGCTTGGTTGTTATGTGAAAATCCACTAGAGGTCCAGCAGTGTATAATAAACACAGCATCAGAACAGCACACCCTTATGACG